GATCAGGTGAGCGCTGGGAGAACGACTCTTACTGCTGAACTTCACAGACAGAGCCTGACAGAGAACTCAACGCAGCACGAGCGCGACATGCAAAGATGTGTAAAACCCACTGCGCAGAAAACACAATAAACAAAGACGGAAGACTGTATGACTCAAAATCACACTCAAATCCCAGTGCAGGAGGATGCTTGCAGTAACGACGACTGGGTTTTGTGTTATTTGCTCAAGTAGAAGGATGTAATATACATAATTTATGAGCACAGATTCATGGCACTGTTCACTAAACAGGCATGAACATGTTATAACACAACGTAAACTGTGCCATTCAATGATTATGTGCACATTTTTGCATTTGTATCCCAGTGCATGCATATGATTATTAAGCACAAGTAATGAAACCTCAAAGGAATCTCTCACCCAAAAATGAAAATGTGCTGAAAACTTACTTACATCCTAGATGTAGAGGAGTTTGGTCCTTCATCAGATTTGGAGAAATGTAGCATTACATCACTTGTGATCCAATGGATGCTCAGCAGTGAATGGGTGCCGTCAGAATGAGAGTCCAAACAGCTGATAAAAACATCACAATAATCCACACCACTCCAGTCCATCAGTTAATGTCTTGAGAAGACAAAAACGTGCATGTTTGTAAGAAACAAATATTTTTGCAGGAAGCTTGAAGTTAAAAACGTCTTAATGGTGGATTTGTTTCTTGTGTCTTCTCCAGATGTTAACTGATGGACTGGAGTGGTGTGGATCACTTGTGGACTATTGTGATGTTTTTATCAGCTGTTTGGACTCTCATTCTGACGGCCCCCATTCACTGCAGAGCATCCATTGCTGGGCAAGTGATGGAATGCTACATTTCTCCTAATCTGTTGCCATGAAGAAACAAACTCATCTTTACAAAAGTGCTAAATAAATTACCTGTAATACAGATACTGCATATTCATAAGCATGTATTAGCAGTGGTTCATGTATAAATCACTGGGGAGATATTAAAGGGGTCATATGATGCGATTTCAATTTTTCCTTTCTCTTTGGAGTGTTACAAGCTCTTGGTGCATAAAGAAGATCTGTAAAGTTGCAAAGACTAAAGTCTCAAATCCAAAGAGATATTCTTAAGTCAGCCGCGCCTACCTAAAACGGCTCGTTCTAACACGCCCCCACATATCTACCTCACGATGTGGGAAGATTTGCATAACGCCGCCCAACTGTTCACGCAAAGAAAGAAGGCGTAACTTTTATTCTCGCTGTAGTATTGTTGTTGCCGCAGCCATGTCGTGAAGTTTTAGTTTTTATTTTCATTTATTTTTTTACACTAGATATAATATATAATACAAAAAAATATATTATACAAAAAATAAACTTTGGATATAACATTAACCCTCTAAGCGACAAGACGTCATACTTAATAAAATAGACTGTAGTTCCTGATATGGTGTAATGAGGATGTGTTGCAAATGTTATTCGCCGATTCTGCCTTTTGGAAATGACGATCGGTCGTCTAATAATCGCGTTTCTCCCGGTACATCTTTGCAGCACAATGGTGCCGCCGTGCAAGGCAAGAATGTTCACGAAGCACAAACAAGTGATCATTTTGATCCTTTGCCCAACGGGGATGGGGTTGGCAGGGCAATATCTATTATTTCCTGAATATTACTGATGAACTGATCAAAAAGTAGGCTACTGTTCACATGCGTTTTACTACTATATAGTATAGTAATATAGTAATCATTTAGTACTTTCTCCTGTTTTATTGTTGGTTTCCTCTTTTCTGATCATTTGGAATGAGGATAAAAAGACCAAAAAAACAAACAAACATGCAAATAAGTTCAAACATCAATTAATTATTTCCTGAATATTACTGATGAACTGATCAAAAAGTAGGCTACTGTTCACATGCGTTTTACTACTATATAGTATAGTAATATAGTAATCATTTAGTACTTTCTCCTGTTTTATTGTTGGTTTCCTCTTTTCTGATCATTTGGAATGAGGATAAAAAGACCAAAAAAACAAACAAACATGCAAATAAGTTCAAACATCAATTAATTATTTCCTGAATATTATGACATTCATTATGGCCGCCCCTGATGACGTCATAATATGCAAATTAGATTAGTATATTTACACCCCACAAACTTTCGGTCATGCCCAACATTTTTCTAATTTACAGTAGATCTCTATCTTTAAGGCCTTTCAAGCCACAAGCTTTTGAAATCTCGATGTCAAAATCCAGCATTTTTCCAAAAAACCCTGGCGCCTAAAGGGTTAAAATTATAAATTGTAATTAAAAGCATATAAAAATAAAACAAAACAAATACAAAATAAATATTAGAATAAAATAATATAAAATTAAAAATTAATAAAATATTTACTAAAATAAAGCAAAATAAAATAAATTAAAACATTCGCACCACTATTGTTTGAGCTTGTTATTCAACATGCTGTTGCTAGGGTGTTTTTGAGTGCTGGGTCTATAGGATGGGATTGTTTTCTTCACAACGCTCTGTGGTTAGTTTTACACTGACAAACAAAACCTTAATATAACACACAATGATAAATTAATCACAATAAGAGCAAGAACATTAAGAAAGTAACAGAAGTACATGGACATAAAGTAGAGATGCACCGATTGCAATTTTCTTGGCCGATTCTGATTTTTTTTGTAAGTGTGACCTGCCGATACCGATTTTTGCAGATTCCGATTTTCTTTCTAAAAACTATAATCTGGACAAAGTTACAGATGTTCTCTCACTTAAACAACTCTTAAAATAAAGTGCTCTATGACTAGAAAAGAGATAGAAATAGCAATTAACTAAAAAGGAGTTGCTGTATATAACAAAACAGACGTCATTTCCCACTGCATTTCTTAAATTGTCCTTTTTTCACTAACCTTATTAAATGTGTTATCTTTCACCTCAAATTCTTACATTGTTTCAAATAATTCAGAACTGGATAGCTGTTACCATTCAAATAAAATCAGTATCAACAAACTCCATCTTTCCACTCCAGCAAACACAGAAGCTGCATCTGAAGTGGCATTAGATGTATTTACAGACTGTTTAATGAAGCTGAGGTGCCATAAATGCAATTACACTGCAAAATTTCAAATGCATAAATAATTTCATAAGATTAATGTTTTAAATATTTTTTAAACACAAATAATCATTCATTCAACAGATTCGTTCAAACGGCTGATTCATTCAGACACGAGGCAAGTGACTACTGTCTTTATGAACGGGTTACTGAATCATTGACTCACTTGATTCATTCAAAAACGTGGATTCATTCAGTAACGAAACACCGCTGTGTGCTGCACAGACACAAAACAGTTCTGCTGTGGCTTTGACTAGAACTATATTCATCAGCGAAATTGAGCAAAAACAGTCAATATTGTGTCTAAAACGTAAGTTACTTAATTTTAACTTCTTGTTTATTGAACTACTATTGTATAAAATCACACTGCAATCGTGTTCAATCGGTGCATCTCTAACATTAAGTGCTACATCTAGGTTTGTGCAAAGTCATTGAATAAGAGTCAATGTCAGGTTCTGGTGCTCTTGTTCCTGTGTCTGGTCTCTGGACGTCCCTGATGGATCGCTGTCACTGCTTTGTCCTTTTGATGAATTTCACTCTTTTCACCTCCACATCTGTTACCCACCGTCTCCTCAGACCTCGCATTTGATTTTCTTCTCACCGCGGTACAGCACACACATTTCACCGCAGAGGACAGACGTGTGTGTGTGTGTGTGTGTGTGTGTGTGTGTGTGTGTGTGTGTGTGTGTGTGCGTTAACCCACTTTCTTCACAGAGAACGACATGGACATTAGGAATGAAACTGACCTGCAGAGCG